CAAAGTTGACTTTTTTTTTAAAAAAAAATCTAAATCAATGAAACCAAACCCTGCTAGACCCCCTTCCTCCCTCACTCTTGGCTTTCTGGTCCTGCTTTGGTTGAAGCCCCAGCTCCGTTGCAGCTCGCTCCTCCCCGTGTGCATGCAGCCTTCCACCACCTCCCGCGGACCCTGCCGGGGTGGTTTTCTCGCTGGCATTGCACCCAGCGGAGATTTCCATCGGCACCAAACACGGATGCTTTTCCAGCAGCGTCTTTGCGCGGATGCTCAAAGAACCAGCGTTGGGCTTTCTTGCCACGCTGCCTGTCCGCAAGAAGCGGGACAGCGGTCAAAAATGTGAATTTTGTAGGGCTGCATCCGGTGACAGATCGCTGCCGTGTTTGGTTCACAGTTGCCGGTGCCGGCTCTGAGCCTGTACGGCAGACGTATGGTTTGAGCTGGTGCAGCCTGGGGCTGTTGGCGGCAGAGGAAGGCAGAGGCAGGCGCGAACAGGAGGCTGGAGGTTCAATTGCTGTTGCAGGCGATGTTTGTCCTCTCCGAGGGGCCGCTGGGTGCAGCGCCGAGGGCTGTTGCGCACGCAGGGAGCGATGCGGCGTTGCTTAATGCTCCTCTTGCCTGCCCTCATGGATTTGCTCTTCTCCAGTTCCACGATAAGATCGAGCCCATGCTGGAGACGCTGGAGACCCTCTCCTCCCGCCTGCGTATGCCTCCCCTCATCCCCGCCGAGGTCGAGAAGATCCGGGAGTGCATCAGCGAGAACAAAACTGCCACCGTGGAGCTGGAGAAGCTGCAGCCTTCCTTCGAGGCTCTGAAACGCCGCGGGGAAGAGCTGATCGGCCGATCGCAGGGAACGGACAAGGACCTGGCAGCAAAAGGTATCTCCGGGTGGATTTAGCAGGAGGTGCTGGCGGGGCTGGTCACAGTGCCCAACTTCTCCTACCCAAACCGTGGTTCCATCACTGTTGAGGAGGCTTTCGTGTCCATGGGGGGAGTATTTCAGAGGGTCTCCTGGCCTTAGGAGGAAGGATGAGTCCTCTACGGAGATGTCTGGTGACAGCTTCCATCTGGAGCAGACAGGGTGGTATCAGCCAGAGGAGACAGAAGTATTTGTGGCTTCTCAGGCGGAGGTTTCAGCTCAGCCAAGCTGAGCCCTCACCCTGAGCCGGTCTCTTGTGGCAAGCGTTGGTGGCCCTTGTGAAATGATTTGTTGGTGTCCATTGAGCGTCTAATGGAGGGGAGGAACATCCCCAGCACACAAAGACCTGACAACACAATTGGCACTAATTGGCACCTTTCTTGGCAACTCAACAGCCAGCTTGTGGACTGAGCGAGCGTAGACTTCATGCTAGAGGTGGCCAGAACAGAGGTTCATTGGAGGAGAGCGTGGGGGCAAATTTGCCCTGAGCTTGCCTGCACATAAATAAAGGCTTTATTTCTGCAAGCTGGAGTTTCTCATGTCCCTCCCTATCTCCCAGAGTTAATGCTCTGATAGTCCTGGTCATCTTTGATTCCCATTTGAATATTCTCTTGGCTATTTCTAGTGGGAAGTGTTCACAAAATGCTTTTGAATTGTAAAAAAAGTTTCCTCCTTCACTGAATGTTTTCATTCCCTTCCTCAGTAATCCAGGATAAGTTGGATCAGATGGTCTTCTTCTGGGAAGACATCAAAGCTCGGGCAGAGGAACGTGAAATGAAGTTCCTTGATGTCCTGGAGCTTGCAGAGAAGTTCTGGTATGACATGGCAGCCCTCCTGACTACCATCAAAGACACGCAGGACATCGTTCATGACCTGGAGAGCCCAGGCATTGACCCCTCCATCATCAAGCAGCAGGTGGAAGCGGCAGAGGTGAGGACCATGGGACCGTACCTCTGTCTGGAGCTTGTCTGCACCCAGCTCGTAAGCTAAATTGGGGCAGATCTTAGACATAAGCATGGCCAGAAGTGGTTGTAAAACAGTTTTTGTAGGCAATCAGTTGGATTATGAAATGTTATTTCCACTGCAGTCTGGAACTGCAAGGAACAAATCAGAAGTGTATTTCACATATCCCTCACCACCACCCGCCCTGTTCCAGAGGAGGAAATGATGCGTAAATCACTTTATCTGCTACTGTTTGGGGAAGCTTATCAAGCGTGTGGTCGGAGTTGTGTGCCCACTTGTTCTGAGTGATGTGGAAGTTTGCAGGCCCCCAGCCTGAGCCAAAGGCATCCGAGTGCTGTCTAGCGTGGGAAGTGTGTATTTAGGTTTTGCGCAGACCGGAGATCAGGGTAAAGCTGGATGGGCTTGGATTTGTATGTTGTTGGTTGTTTCAAGTAGGTGGTGAAATCCACTTCAGGTGGTTTTGAGTTGTGGAAAGGTTTCCTTCTTCACTGAAATCCACTTCAGGTGGATGTGACTTGGACCTTGGAGAGCAGGGATGCTTCTTTATGCTTTGCTAAGTTTGTCCTCGCTATTTCCCTTTTATAACCCTGCTGACTTTGGTTTGTGACTTTTGAGTCTCAAAAACCAATTCCTGTATTGACAAAATACTCCTGTTAAACAGCGCGTCTCTTTGTAAACAGCATCTCCAGCCCGGCAGTTCAGGCACGCGTCGAGCTAAATACAGATGTTCGTGTTTCAGTTCCCCCAGCCCCTGCGGGCAGCAGCATCGGTGGCGATGCTGGGGGGCAGGACGGCCGTCTGCTCCCCTGGAACCGAGGGCTGGGGTCTGGCGTGGGGCTGTCGGCCAGGGCGCAGGACACCGGAGCGGGAAGGACTCTCCGCCCTTTAGCCCTCCTGTTCACGGGGCGATTTTGGAAGAACATTTAATAATAAACATTTTTCTTTTGTCGCTGTGTTGTTTGCAGACTATTAAAGAGGAGACGGACGGTTTGCATGAAGAGCTGGAGTTCATCCGACTCCTTGGAACTGATTTAATTTTTGCCTGTGGCGAAACTGAGAAACCAGAAGTGAAAAAGAGCATTGATGAGGTAGGAGAACCAGCAGCCTCTCCTTCAGATAAAATCAGGTCGGAGCAAGTGGGAGCTCCGGTAGGAGAGGCTAACGAATTTTGTGGGCAATCTTGTGTTCCGCAGATGAACAACGCGTGGGAAAATCTAAACAAAACATGGAAGGAGAGGCTTGAAAAGCTTGAAGAAGCCATGCAGTCGGCTGTGCAATACCAAGATACACTTCAAGTAAGAGGCAGGGCTGTTTGCATGGAGGGGGTGGACCTTGGGAACACCGCTGTGAATCCTCTCCCCGGAGTTGTACTGGGATTTGCACTAAGGCAGAGCAGAAAACATCTCCTGGGCGAGTGTTTGCAGCCTCGGGTAGAGCCTGGGCTCAACAGCCAGCTCCAAGGACGAGCAGATACTTGATTGCGTTTGTCTTCCCAAATCTGTCTTCCTTTCCACACGGAGCAGCAGGATGAGCCCGACTGCCCTCCGGTCCTCCTGCTGGAAGGAGGAGAGGGAAGGAAAGAGCTTGCAAAAGCAAGTGCTGGCCAAGCAGGCATCTCTGCCCCGAAAGCCAAGCTTTGTGGTTGCAGAGGGATGGAGGCACCAGCCCCGTTGCCCCGGCCGGCTGCGGAGGGAGCTTGCTTTGCCGTTCCCTTTATTAACGATGTCTGCGCTCCTTGCAGGCCATGTTTGACTGGCTGGACAACGCCGTGATCAAACTCTGCAACATGTCTCCTGTCGGCACTGACCTCAACACGGTTAAGGAGCAGATGAACGAGATGAAGGTACGCGGGCGGAGCGGGACCGGTTCGCCGGTGCTTGCTTTGCATCGCAGAGCTGGCGTTCCAGTGATTCATTTTGTTCTGGTTTTTGTCCTGCTTGTTTTGGCAGGAGTTTAAAATGGAGGTTTACCAGCAGCAGATTGAGATGGAAAAGCTTAATCACCAAGGTGAACTGATGCTAAAAAAAGCTACAGATGAGACAGACAGAGACATCATAAAGGAACCACTGACAGAGCTGAAACATCTCTGGGAGAATTTGGGCGAGAAAATTGCTCACAGACAGGTAGGGAGAAGATCTGGGCTCTCACAAGTGCAGGGCTGAAACTGGCTGGGATGCTCCCCCCTTCTTCACGACTTAAACTTCCCTTTCCCGTCCCTGTCCTTGCCCAGCATAAGTTGGAAGCCGCTCTCCTGGCCCTCGGCCAGTTCCAGCACGCGCTGGCGGAGCTGATGGCCTGGCTGACCCACACCGAGGAGCTGCTCGACGCGCAAAAACCCATCAACGGAGACCCGAAAGTCATCGAGGTTGAACTCGCAAAGCACCATGTG